AGCCCAGCGTGCAGACCACTACACCACGAAGGTGTCAGAAATATCTTATATACTCCCTCTTTTAAATGGCGATTGCGGTTTTTAGGGAAACCAATCGCCAAATCTTGGGTGTGGAGACCCACATCCACCACCCTTTTTAGTTCGGGCCCCACTGTAGAGACATTAGGTATTTTGGAAGCAGGTGTGATGAAAAATAAGCAACGCCTTCACCAGGAATCGAACCACAGACCTCTGGAATACGCGCCCAGAATGCAGACCACCACACCACGAGGGCACGCTGTGTGTCATTGCACGATTTCTGTTTCCAACTGCAAATGTAATTTAAGAATGAAATGACTGTTTGTTGCAAGTGAGTCACACTTAAGTCACACAAAGAGCCTCAGGCGGCTCGCGAGCCGCAGCTTGGCCACACCTATTTTATATCTTAACTAATCTGCACCCTGTTGGAAGTCAACGAAAGTAGAAATGACAGTAAAGATTAAAAATAAAGAAAAAATTTCAAAGCCTTCAGATTTTATATTACGCCCAAAGGGGCGTTTTTTAACGTTTTGCGCGTTGCATTTATTTATTAAATATTATATTCTTCGCACTTAAACCATAAAATTCAATTCAACAGCAATATTACAAAATATTTAAATGATCATATCTTTAAAATCTCCGATACACAGTCTGGCGCGCAGAGGATAATTTTTTTTTTTTTTTTTTTTTTTTTTTTCTCGTACAATGTTGTCATTTCTCGCTTTGAAATCGTTGAGTTTCTTAATCAAAAACTCATAAATGCTTTACAAAACATAAAATAGACAACAAAACAAATTCCAAATTTGTGCTTTCAGATGCCCATATTCGGGTGGAGATGTACGTTTATCAAAATTTGATGGTTTTAGGAACCTTGTTTTATCACATTGCGAGAAACATGCATATATTTATGCAGATTCTTCATTATTTAATTTCTTTAAATATAATACAGGGCTCTAATATTTGGTGGTAACTATTTAAAAAGTGTTTCGCCGTTTATAGTGAATCAACAAAAAACGCCAAAACGAAATTAATAGCCCTTCTGGTAAAATTGCACCTATAGGCTAATAAAATAACGGATTACTAAACATAAAACTTTACAAGCTGAAGTAAAGAAAATGGCAGATTTTTTTTCCCATGACAGTATTTTGCATTTCTTTAAGATACATTGAGGAAGATCAAGAAATTAACTTTTGTGGGTTATTCCTTGAAGCCGAGACCTCTCATAGAAGCAAAATTAAGTGTGCAAGAAGTTTTAAGACAGTTCGGTCTTCCAAATCTAATAGAAAAGTAGGAAAAGGTGGCTAATCTGAACTGAAAAGCTTGTAAGACTGTGTAATATAAATGGTGCTCGTAAATGTATTTTATAAATAATAATTAAATAATTAAGACACAATAACACGCCGAATAAATACTAATCCAGAAGTCAAACAACAAAAATCAGCGTTATATTTACAAAATTTTCACAGTGAAAATTTTGCAAATATAACGCTGATTTTTGTTGTTTGACTTCTGGATTAATAATTAAATTCTTAACGTTTCCAACCATGGTGAAACTATTTATTATTCTTTGATTTTCTTTACGCGTTTTCTCAATTTTAGGCCCGACTCGAGAATGAATTAAAGTTATTCCCACAGGAATCTAAGATAAATGATGTCCTGAATAATGAAGAATTCGCAAAACAAACACAACACTCCAACACACTGCTTTCCTCGTGTAAAGCATCGCTGTATCTTATCTATCTCAAATTTTATAAGTAGGCATCTAAAACATTTGTTTGATAATGCGTTATCAGATCAGCACTTTTATGAATATATTTTTAAAAAATTAAGGGTTAAGACAGATAAAGTAGACTGACGTATAATTTCCAATATTTTGCTCAGCAAGAGAAATACTTATTTGTATATAAGGGCTAATAAGAAAGTCAAACTTCGGCTGCTGTGGCATAGAAGTACAATGCCGTTCTGGGCATAGAAAGGCTGAGTTTGAGTTCCAGTTCTAATTTGATGTTTTATAAATTAATTAAACGTATTTCTAGAAACTTGCAATATTTTATTTATATTTCTCACATCGCTTTACTTATATTCCGTAAAGGAACTCAACATCAGTTTTAAAAGAAGAAAAAAAGTATTTATAACTGTATTAAGAATGTACTTCTTAAACACATCTCTGAAATAATCCTTAATTCTTACATTTAAAGCTGCTGCAATACTATAAAGACATAAAAAGAAAACCCGAAAGGACTGAAAAAAAAATATGCCTAAATTTAATGAAAAAATATTAAATTTCAACAGCAATATAATAAATTGTATATATAATAAACTGTTTTCCAATTTAAACCAAGGTACATATTCCAATAATTAACCCTTTATCATGTACGCGACTTAAGTGATTACTCATAAACCATACGTCCAAACCCGTCCTCGTACGTCCAAACCCGAACATTACGCAAATGCAGAATAAACACGCGACAGGTAAAGTGCGTATTATTATCAGTATTCTGCAAGCTATTATAACATGATGCGAAATGGCACGGCGCTAGAGCTGTGAACTGAAGATAACTAGATGCTCTTGCCAGTTATTGTTCAGCTAAAATGGATAGGTTTCTGCTGATTGCAATAAAAGGTATAGAAGTGAATTTACGAGAACTAGGTATGCTTTTGGAAGCAAGATGTTAAAGTGAATGTGACGGTTGATTTTGATCCTGGCAAAAGACGCGCTTTATTCAATTGTATGGCATATGTTAAAATCTTTTATCGTAAAGATAATGTAAGATGCGTCAAATTATGTGCATGTTTCCTAAATAAATATTATCTTTCAAACATTAGTATCACTTTTACATGCATATGGGAGGTCTATATTCAACAATAAAACTAACAGTTTTCTTTTCCAGTCACTCTCGTAGTTTAAGTACAAAAACATTATCATATTTTACAGAAGCTGTCAAAACATTTTAATCTTCTTAGCCATAAAAATGGTTTTATCGAGAAATATATCATGATTTACTATATTTATCAGTTTACTAATTTTATTTATTAGTTTACTAGTTCACTAGTTTTAATGAATTACTGTTACTGCCTGTAGTGAATTATTGTTACTGCCTGTATAGTGGAGTTTTTGTACCTTTACAAAGATATGCACTATTAAATATTGTCAAAAACAGTTTCTTTGAAAAGATATTGAATAAAATTTTATATTAAATTGTAGAGTCATTAAGATTATTTGGAGGCAGACGAGATGAAAAATTAGCAATCGCCTTCACCGGGAATCGAACCACGGACCTCTGGAATACCGGCCCAGCGTGCTACCGTTACACCACGAAGGCACGCTAGGGAAGTAGGAGAAATACCTTAAATACTCCTCTTTTAAAAGGGCGACTAGGGTTTTAGGGGACCTAGTCGCCAAATCCTGGGTGCGCAGAATCATCATCCACAACCCTTTTAGCTCGGACGCCACTTGTAGACTCATTAGGTAAATTAGAAAAGCCTGAGAGATGAAAAATATGCAACTGCCTTCGCCGAGAATCGAACCACGGACCTCTGGAGTACCGGCCCAGCGTGCTACCGTTCCACGAAGGCACGCTAATGAAGTGGGAGAAATACCTTATAAAATCACTTAATTAAATTTTTACCATTAAATATTTTTAGTTTTTCATATTATTGCTCATTTTCTTCAGATAAGGAGAATGGTAGCGAGGTTTATTGCAAAATTATGCATTAATATTTCCATTAGAAGTTCAATCGCTGTGTTTTATATTTCCCTAACAATGCTATGGCAATTTGCGTCTGAAATAAAGTTAACAGCTATACTATACAACGAAGTGAATAGAGGAAATAACAGTTGTTTCACTTACTGGAAGAGAAATACTTCAATGTAGATTTTAAATTAGGCAAAAAAGCGCTCATAGATTAGAGTAGATTTTGAACAAACCTCCATCGATTTCAAGGGCGATTAGGCATAACCCCTTTTCTTCAGGAGCGAACATATTTTTCCCCCTTGAAGAAGAGTGACAGGCGACTGGTTACCTTCCAAACTGTTCAAAATTTAAAATGTTTGAGCTTGCAATTCTTTCATAATTTTATGTTAGTTTGCTAGTTTTAGTGAATTTATGGTATGCCTTGTGAAACAAAATCTTTTGATAAAATTTTCAGGTTGTTCTCAAATATTTGTAAATCTAAAAGTCTTGCATAAATATGAAAAAAAGAAATTGAAATTTATTTAAAGCTTTTCTAAATCTATCTTAAATGAACAGACTATAGAAAAACATTTTACAGCGTATTAGAATTGAAGTTGTTTAAAAGACGCACTGAAACAAATTTGCAGCTTTAAAACATTTAGACATTTAAAATCAAAAATATTATGAAACATTAGTAATTGTTAACTCAGAAAACATTTTACAGGATATTTTCAGAATAAAACGGAAGACGTGAAATGTAGCCGGAAATTAAATAGCTTAACTCCATAAACTTGGCAAAGTAAACATTTTTCGTATTTTAACTTCGATTCCTTCAAGAAACGTTTACCTAAATTCGTATATTCTGTGCATTCAAAAATTTTTTAAATTATTATGGAATATATTTTCAAGTGGTTGAAGGCATTTGCAACAAAATTTCCTGTGAATTTTATATACGTTATTCAAATGTCAGATCTAACAATGTTGGAATCAATGCTCTAATTTGCTACTGACGCAGCCGTCAAATTTTGCATTATTACTCAATATGAAGAAGAATTCTTTTTCCAGTTGTCAAAATAAGTAACAAAATGGATTACAATTTACAAGTCAAGGATTACAATATCAATTATTTCAGTGACATATTGCTTTCAAAGCAATAAGCAATACCCAGTCAGTTACTTTTAATTATTTCTTCATGAAGTAACACATAAATTGTAATTCGGATATCAAATGAATAAAAAAAAAAGCATTTTTATCATGAAATTTACAGGCATAATTCTATTTGACAGCATAAATGAAAACGTTTCTTACTGTTTAGTTTTCATTATGAGTCTGATGCAGTTACAAATTCCATCAGACTTCTATAAAGAAACAAAAAAGAGCTTGTAATGTTTAAAAATAAAATCAGCATGTTTGTATAATCAATGCTTTTCTTTCTTCTTTTTTTCTATAAATCGCAGTTGGGAATGACTTTAGTTGTGTATCATACATAGGATAGCATTCCTTTTAAAAAAATCAGTTTTGTGCTTTTTTGTGTTCCTTTCTAAATCTTCTGTTGTATCATTGTTGTTGTCGGCAAGCAAAACCTTTTACATTGTTCAAGTTTCTTGCAAAGCAAAGAAGCCACCCATTCAGACATTCCGCTACGTTAGACTTCCGACACTCATTTTATCCAAATCATTCTCCGTTCCTCTATAAAATTTTCAATTTTTTTAATTCGATTCAGATTCCGAGGACCTACTGGTCTTTCGATTACGACGTATTTATTTATTCATAGAACGAACTTAAATTATCCTTGCTATTTTATTCATCTCTAAAAAATCTGCTTCCTTTCAGTATTTTCTTTTCATCAGAATGAAAACCAGTTCGACCAGTAAAATTTCTTGAGTATACGACAAACATTCTACTGTAAAGTAAGAGAAATAAAAAATAGTTCCCGATTTCTCCTATAATATTAGCTTTTATGTGGTTAAGGATATTGCGATATTTTTGTCTGATATGAAAAACCTATAATTACTTTTTATTAATTATAAGTACATTTTTAAGCATTTTTCCGCTAAATATAGGAAAACAAATTCAGTTCTCTAAGTAGACACCAAAGAAAAATGATTGAAATCTAATATATCTTGTAAAATGTTTTAGTACATGCACTAAAAATAGAAAACAATAAAACTTATGGCTGATCAAAACTGCCCCCCGTAATGTGTAGACAGTTTCTATAATATCAATATATTGCTTAATATAAGTATAATATTACTAAAGTTGAATTTTTCCTTTTCTAAAAAATAAAAAATGCAGTATATCTCGGATTGCTTATACCACTGCATTTTCTACATTCCAGTGCTCATTAAGGAAATCAAGAGGAACAAAGAAGTTTTTATGAAAAAGGCCTTGCTTTCAACACCTAACTGCAGTTTTTTCTATTATTACAAACTTCATGGCGTCAACAATAGATAAAATTAATAAAGGAAATTAAATCTTAATTAACTTTTAAGAATTTAAACTTATTTAAAATTTATTTGCGAAATATATTTAAGCTCTTCTAATAAAACTTCAATGAAAACATCATTCGGCAATCTAAACTATTTTAAATCTTTCTGATTCGGAGCTAGTGTATTTTCATTAAAAATAAGTGAACTTGTCAGTTTACTCAAACAAAAGTTCAATACCAAACATTGACAGAATAGAAAAAAAATTAATTAAAGGTGAATAATAAATCATAAGTATGAAGTATTTTAAATAGTTTAACTGGAAATATTTAAATCTGAAAAGTGCATTACAATAATTCAAAAGAAGCTATTTCACTCAAAATATGCGCTAAAACATAACTTACAGCATGAGTTGCTTTGTTATTTCACGTTACATCAAACATAGTCAAAGTGACTAGAACAGCTGTAAAGAGAAATGTCTCGAACGCCTTGCAGCTCGAATGAGAATGTGGAGCGCTTTAGTTATCGAACGCACGTGGAAATCCTAGAGGGCGTTCTGCGCTCTTACGTGATAGAAGGAATCGTTTCTATTGGCTGCGATCCAAAAAACAAATACTCAGCCAGTAAGGGAAGATTTGACCATTTTTGATTATGCATAAGAAAACAACCTGTTTTGCAGATTTAATTCTAATTTTACTTTTATTTGTTTCGTAATTTCTTCTATCTGAAAGTTAACACAGCAATTAAGGAGTTGCTTCTGAAATTAAAACGATATTTCACAGAAAACGCAGAAGATAACATACTTAATATTAATTTTTCGAACCTTATTTGAGTCTCAAAGCGTGATGTATTTAAATTTAAGATTTACATATTTATGCAATATAAAGGCATATTTTAAATTCACATGACATAAATTTAACATTGGAAAGCAAGAAAATCAAAATACCCTGCAAAAAGACTTATTTCGTGAGTACCGTCATCAAAAATTTTGATATAAGTTAGAAAAGTAATGAAATTATTTAAAGTTTTGACAATCATTTGCTATTCGATTTCAAGTTTGCTGCTATTTCAAGACAAGCTTAGTCTTTGAAATTCGTTATCCAATTCATAAATCAGAACGTGATCTGATACTGAATTATCATTAATACTTAACTCTGAGTTAATAAAAGGGACGGTTTCGCTTTTGTAGATGCGTTTGCTACCGAAAATGAAAAGCATGTGACGAATTCTTTGAATGAAAGTGAAAGAAATTTCCTCATTAGAGATTAATTGCTTGATGTGGTTTCATATCTAAAACTGAGAATAATTATGGTCAATGACAATACGAAGCATCTAATGTACTTGGCGTCTCATTTAATTTAGAATGCTTTACTAAATTTATTCTTGACTTTATAAAAGAAAAACGTGCAACTTGAAATTATAAAATAATTACAGACTATTAGCTATTAAGCTCTATTCTCCAAGAAAAATTTGTGGTACTTAACGTTTTATGATTTTATTTACAAATCGATCAGCTTGCTTGAAACCTAGAAAATAATTGTATTATAACTGATTTAAAGATGTCTTCGATAAGTCAAATTCTTAAATTCATTTAGATTTGTAATTCGATTTTGAAAATAAATGACTTATAAAAATACTTCGTCTTTTAAAATTAATTTCTAAAGTAAATTTATATTTTTAAATGCTAAAATACTGATAATTTTTAATCCAAAAATAAATTATATTAAACGTTCGCCAAGCATTTATTTCACCTACGGCTTCTAACTGTTGACTATCATAGAGTTAAACCCTTAATTTAATGATAAGTATGAAACAAGATGCAAAAATTCTAATTTTTCATTTTCCTAAAGTTGTGTTCAATACTTCTTAATTTGACTGAAAATTATGAAAATCTTTCTTTCTTAATTATCCCACTTGATATGAATACCCGTTAATCCCTGATCACTCTTTTTACAAAACATCACAACTCTATTGTTTTCTGAGAACTTTTTTGACAGCCAGACTAGATTATCACTGCTGAGAGTTTATGACTTTCACGAAACTCATTATCAGACTTAATAAAAAAGCATTTCGGGAAAAGAAATATACCTTGTTCACACCGTCTACACGCATTCAAGTGTATACCATGAAAGCAGTTGGTACGGTTCTCTTAATATTTACCTGCTAAAGGAGCTTATTTGTCTCCCAATATCACTGCTATATATGAGTTGGAGTGAATTCTATGAGCCGGGTGTAAACTATGTCCTGGATGAGAATTCCAATCCAAACCTAGATAATTTACACTGACAACTATGGAAGTTCTTGACAAAGAAAATTAGGTTATAGTCGTTTGAAACTGATTTCATGGTGAAAGTTCTAAATGATCCAACAGGAGCGTGCCGTTAGAGGTGAAGCAACGTTTAACGCAACAAGTTTCTAAGATAAACTGTTTCTCTCTAAAATATCCTTATGCTCATTGTGTAAAACGCAAAACTAGTGCCTGTGTATAGCTGATTTTAGCTAATTTATTGTTATTAGTCTAAATATTAATTTCTGCGTCAAGACGCTTTTGGGTTTATATAAAGGTATATCTTCTCGTTGATGCAATTTACATAATACCATCATCTTAGTTCCCTTAATATGTTTGCAATCATCTTGAAATCTCTGAAAGTTATGGAAGAGTTTAGAAATGAATTGTGCATAGCTTTGAGAAAATTGCTGTCAGACAGACAGTACAATCATCATAACAGTTTAAGTGCCATCACATTTTACTGTACAAATATATATACTATATGCATTTTTTTTTAAATCTCTTTTACAGAAATGTTTCCATCCGTTAGTTTGGACAGCTTATTCGGAAGCGTCAAATTGTTATGCGAATATTTAAATAATCATCATTATTTTTTAATTATTAATTGCCAGACATATTGTTAAGTAAGAGTGAAAGAATCGATCTTTCATGATTACCACTCGCTTTTAATAATGGTAAAAAGCTGTAAAAATTTCCATTTCTGTTTAATAAGTTTAATAATTCATTATATCTGCATTTAAGATATGAATGCATGTTTTCTCATTCTAATTGTATTTTAAGTACTATTTAGTTTTCAGATATACGTATATTTCTTTGAATATTAATAACACTTTATTTATAAAATTTACTTTAGTTGGATTACATATCGCTTTATGCGAATATAAAATAACAACATCTGCAGTAGTTTTTTCTGCTACAGTCGTGAACGCAGACGTATGCTACATCTAAAAGTTCAGTTACAACTATCAAATATCGAAACAAACAGTAAATTAACAATATATATGTATGTACAAATATACTCTTACAATAAATAACACGAAAATTTAAAAAAAAAATTAAATTAAAAATATATAACTTTTTGCTGTGATTCCCTTGGTGAACAATATCTCATTTTTTATTAAGGATATTCAATTTGATATCGTTATTTACTATTTGCTTTAGTTCCGCATTCCCTTTTCTTAGAAGGGCCTTTGTCCCACAAAGAAAAACAGAAGAATTCGAAAGTTTCCTGGGATGTTTCAATTCAAACAAGAAGCGAAAATTCATAATTAGATCAGAAAAAAATTTACCAATGGGACAAATGACTTTTGTGTTTCAAACTCAGGGTCAGCAACTTAGCCATAAAGTTAAATACACATTTGAAGTTAGAAGATGCCATAAAAAGCTGGGTATTAAAACATAAGAATTTGCTTTTAACATCTTCACAGCATACGAGCGTTGCACGGATAACTCATTTTCTCTCTGCGCCTTCAAGTACTGCTGCAGCATCCCTTCAATCGATCCTTGTTCGAGAAAAACAACCCTCTCCTTCTGGGATCCAGAAAAAGTGGCGCATCTTTTCCTTCCAAAATTCATTAAGCTTGCTTACTTCAAACAATTATATGAATTAATGACTAAAATGAAGATTGTTCTTAAGAAAAATAAACTTTTGCGGGAAATTTAAAAAAAAAATGTTTTTCTTTCCCTATTTACATTTAGCGACTCCAAAAGACAATAGCTGGTTCTGAAAGGAATTCTTAAACGTAACTCAATTAGCCATTGAATATATTTCATTCGAAGGAGTAAAGTAAACTTTGCGGTTTACGAATCAACACGTATTTATGTCTGATAGACAATAGCTTTAATTCACTCATATAACTGAGAAATTAGAGACAAATATTCACAGCAGGACAATACGGCATAATTTAATTTTAATAATTGATTAAAATATCTTTGAGTAAACTCAAATTTTAAAGGAAGCTGAATTCAATCGTATCAGAATTTTTACTTGGTAATGGTGCCCCACAGCAGCTTTAAAGCTGTATTAGCGTTTACCTAATCACAAAATGCCCAAATCTATAGTATTAAAGTGTTTCAGAAATAGTTTTACAAAGTAATTATTATACATAAACAGATATAATCAAAAAATGAAGAGTATTTTTAATACATAATGCCATTTTGATTACTAGGAGAAGGGGACCAAATCACTATATTAAGGTGGTGACAAATGATCATAACCCACTTTTAAATGGGGCGTCATTTGTGAAGTCATTAGTTTTATTTCGAAGAGGAAATATACCCTCACTGGAATTTGAACTCTGAACCTTCCGACTCCCAACCGAAAGTGCTTCTGAAGCGAGCGTCACCATGAAGATCCACAGTAAAGAAGTAGAATATACCTTAAAAAATTAGCATACTTTTGTTATAATTAAAATGTGTAAATTAAAAAACTGTACTTACAAAGTAAGTTCATTTATCAATGTCACACCTGTATTTCAGAGAATCGCCTTTTTTCAAAAAAATTTCGTTATCTTAGAAAGAAGTTAGAGACATGATTAATTAATAGTGCTTAAATTTTTACAGAGTTATATTTACTCCAATTATGCTATAAATTTTATATATTTATCATAACTCTTACTAAATGCATTTATGTTACTTGATTTTATTCGAAGACATATAACTATTTTCATGATATCCGCATATTATATATAACGTCTAAAACCTGAGTAAATTAAGAAGAAAAGCACTTTTTTTCTTTTTCATGTCGCGAATGAGCCTGCCCTTTTTTTTCAAAGCCAAAGAGAAGACCATTTTTTCTTTTACTTAATATAAATGAACCTGGACTTTCATAGCATAAAAGATGGAAATTACGATGCCTTCAGAACATCTTTTCAAGTACCTTCAAATGATTTATAATTTACGGATTTTTTGTTTTCATTCAACAAAAGGAGACACTGGTAAATGATTTGTCTGGTATATATTTATTTGTTTAACGTTTTCAACTAATTTAATAAATTCGTACATTACAGTTTTCTCTTCAAAATCTTCCATGTTTATTTAATTGCCTTAATTTTTCTTTCTAAAGCATTTCTTATTTGGTACACTGTTGCATCAAAATTCAGCGCTGAAAAATATTTAGACCGAAAACAGTATCCTCTCTTCAGTGATTCGCTTGGTGCAATCTTAAAAATTATTGTGCTGCTAA